ACTTTTCCATTTCAGAAAGTATATCAATAACCAATGTGATAAACACTTAGTAATAAATGCTAATTTGCTTGATATAGATTAGAAAGTGAAGTAAATGTCTGAGTGGATTTTGAATAGCATCTTCTTTTTTTAGAGAAAGTGCCACATTTCAAAGTAAGGTGTCTTTGTTTTATCAGAGAGGAATTGTTCACTTTCTAATGTGATAGACAGCTCTAGAAATGAGATCTCTGGGAGTGCGTTGGGTCATATTCTCACCTGGATCACATTAGGATCTCTGCTATGAGTACAGACTAGAACAACTTGAATATCTTGAGAGCCCAGAATTTACTGTTTAGTCGTTTATATTCCTTATCAAGCATGTGCATTAGATTTGTTTTAGGGTATAAATTTAATGAAGCTGGTCATTTGTTTGTTTGTTTTTAGTTCTGAACCAAGGCCCCAAAATATGCTAGGCAAAGCCCAGCCCTAGATATTCTTAATGTAAATGGAAGATACATAATCATGGTCAATATATAGTTAATTTTTTTGAGCAATCTTACTGTAGACAAGAAAGCTATGATTACTACAAATACAATGACACTATTCAACGTTGAAAACAAATGTTAAATTGTTTAATTTATATTTGTTTGTGAGTTTATCTGCACATAAATGACTAGAAATTCCCTCCGAGGAAAAGCATACATCTACATAAAATAGTTCAGTTTCTTACTGTGTTTGACACATAGGAAGTGTGCTGAAAAAGCTAACTGGTTGACTTCTTTACATTTAATAAATGTTTGGAAGTGCTATAGGTTCACAGATTTTCAGTCATTCAGAATGCGCGAAAATAGCACTTTAATGATTTACACAGGTTGAAGATTAAATCTATTCATAAAAGGATTGTTAATTTGTTACTTTCTATGTGTGAGGTCTAAGGGGTGTGTGTGTGTGTATGAAGTTTTTTGAATTACCTAACATGTTGGTAACCTTAGTTTTCTCTGTTTTATCAAAAATCAGTCTGTAGACATTTTTCTTGCCCTTTTTTTTATTTGTTCTTTGTTTGTTTGTTTGTTTGTTTGTAAATGAAGTCAATGAAACATTGTATTGAAGTACTATATATACTATTTATGGCTTAGTTATATTCAGTAACTACTGAGGTTTTACTAATTACTGTGGCTATTGTATAAGTTCTACTTTAGCTTTATGTGATCTAAATGGTGGTTTCTTCCCAATATAAACATTTTCATATCATAATATTTATGGAATATGTATCTAAGGTGAAAATAGGAATTTTTCTTTGATTTACCTTTGGAATTATGATTTATAAATTTATCCTCACTTGATTATTTATTTTAATAAATTTTATACATAAAATTTTCTTAGGTATTTTTCATATTTTATATTTTTTATTCTTGAATACCTTGACATTTCTTGAAAGAATATATGATTTGTTTGACCTAAAGCATATTTTCAAATTAATCTTATAATTTGTATTTTTGTTCTTTAAATTTAGAAAGGTTAATCAGGATTCTATTTTTAGTTGCTTTTACATAATTTCTAATATGTAAAACTAATACTGATAGAACTAATTCATTTTTTGATGGAGAAAATTTTGTGAAGGTCAAATTAATATTTAATAAGATACAGATTAATGGATGAGCTTTATATTTAAGTACTATTAGCACGCTTAGAAATATAGCCAGCATGTGATCTTCAAAAGACTAATTTCAGGACTTCCCCCAGACAGCAGGTCCAGTTTCTCCTGAGTTGTCTCTAATACCACCCTGCTTGAGTATGTGCTCATCCTTGCTTGTTTTGAAGATCCATCTTCTCTTACAGCTGTCACTGTAAATATCTCATCTAATAAATTCCTGTACTATTGTGAACTGTATGCCCTAAGGAACTTACACTCTTCGTGCTTCTACTTCATTTTCTTGGACATCTTTGAAAGATAGTTTTACATAGTGATGAACTAGCATTTATGAGGATCCTTCTAAATTTATATTTCATTGTGATTTGTGAAAATATTTTGTTTCATGTGCTATAATGAACAGAAAAGGCGATGAACATTTACTTTCTAAGATCTTCATATTTGCTAAGTCCAAAACAATAATCTAGCCATAACTGACAGAAATTAGCATTTATGACGCAGGGTACTTTTCGCTATATTGGATTGTTCTTAACTGATTATGGTTAAATGAAGATTCTAGTTTGCTGATATTAGGAGTGTGACAGCTGGTTGTTGCCTCGAAGAGGAATTCAGTTACCATGGACAGCACTGAGGACATAGTAACTATCAAGTAAGCTAGAGAATGAATGGGAAGTTTGCAGGGGAGACACAAAACTTTTTTAAAATGACTTCATTTTAAGAATTTCTCACATGTAATTCAATTAAATATAATCATAACCCTCATTTTCTTCTCCATCTTACCTCATATCCCTTCCCAACTTCATTTGGGAGGCAGAGGACACACTAAGTCCACTGGAGCATGGGAACAACAGGTTGGCGCTTGGCTTCTTTTAAGACTCAATGGAGTCTGCTCTTCACTACAATACCATGTACAAAAGAGGTTTTGAGGGTTTGCTTGTTTGTTTTTACAATTTGTAGCATTATACAGACATAATTGTGGAAGTGTGATTTATGATTTTAAGTGTTCTTCTTAAATGAGACTCTTTTAACACATACTACATAATATAATCATAAGGAAGGCAAGAAAGCATTCCACAGAGCTGATATAAGTGTGTTTATACATAGAGTGTTTCTGGTTTGCTTGAGTCCGTCTGCTACAGTTATATTTTATAGATGCTTTTTGACCTGTATCACTGTTACATAAATAATGTAAGTGATTTGATGGGCACTTTTTGTTGTGCTGAGATGGTGGTCAAGATGTATCCTTTTATTCCCTGTTACAAATAATTTAAAATTCGTATTGTCTAAGAGTTTTTAAATGGTTGTATCTAAGAATGTAAGTCCTGATCTATCATCTATAAACCTGAAATCATCCTAGATTTCTTGCCTATTGGTATGAGGTTGTTTTTCTTAAGAGTGTTCATAATGAAATGATTGGGTATCAGAGTAAGAGCACTGGTTCTTGGTCTTCCTCCCTGTCTGACTCATTGTCTCCCATGTCTGTGGGTCAGAGAGCAGTGAGTAGAAAGCTGTTTTCCTGATACTGATCCTGCTGCTGTATTTGTTCTGTGACTTTCAATATGTTCACTTGAATTATCTATGCTTCTACTATTATTTGTGAAGAAATTGTCATTTAAAAAGCAGTATATAATATGAAAACCATATAAATTACCCAATATACAGGAAGACACTGGGAAGGGAAGCAAGCTTAATTAATTGCAATCTATGTTTTCTGAAGAAACAAAACAAAACAGTGTTCTCTTAGAGGTGCTGCAAGTGTCTATAAACAATCGTTTTCTTCCTAATTTACTTTTAACATGTTATGAAACTATTTTAGCACTGTGCTAAATGTTTATCTACGAAAATGTCATATCAAAGAATAGTCATGTGAAAGAATTCAGCATGGGCCTTTGTTATTAATGTATCTAAATTTTTGCATTATCTTCTTCGCAGTATTGGTGAAATGAGAATGAAAAGGGAAATACAGCTTGTAGCTTTTGTATACACATGAATATATTTCAAAAGGACACAGTATCTATTTCTTGTGTTCAATCGTATTAGGGGCCTCTAGTTAGAAATGCAATTGGGAGGACTATCTTATTTGATATGTGAAAATATTCTTACATAATAAAAACAACATTGCTAGGTATCAAATACATCATACCTTTTCCAGTTATTTAGCTTTCGTCTTTTTCTAAGATATTTAAATACTTCTTGTAATAGGTTTTGTTTTCTTGCCACTCATAAAAAGAAAAATTTGTTATAAGAATTAATTACCTCAGCACTCACAGTTCTAGTATATTTCCATTCCAACATGTTTTTTTCCTCAAAAATCACTCAACGACTATAATTCACTTAATCAAGAATTGAATGTGGTATATAAGAATTTTGCGTATTTGATTCAGAAGAGTACTTGATTTCAATAGGAGATTTGACTTGGTGTTATAACATTTCCCTGTGTCAATTGTGCTAATACTGCATCACCAATATGTTAAAAGAAAGATTTTTCTTTGAAAGTGTAATTTAATTGGCTTTGTTTTTTTTATTTCAAGTTATTGTATAAACCAATAGCTTGTCAACTTCTTAAATAGTTGTTAGAAAAGTTTTAATTACCCAGACGTATGCTATATCCATTCTAGTCAATGGTGATTTCCAAAGGTAAATGTTAAAAAAAGATTGTAGAAACAATCTATAATGTGACATTTGTAAGAATTTTCTGAATAAATAATTATTATAAATGAATATGATAAACATTTGTCAAAATTAAATGACAATTTTAATTTTCAGTGATAAACTACAACCTCATATTTCATCCACTATTCTTATAAAGAGTTGTATTGTATTTTATTATTTTTTAATTTTTTATTTAAACATTTAACTAGGGTAAAGTGATCTAATGAAGTATGGACCTGACAGATGAACTTTTTTTCTGATTAAATGGAGAAATACCACAGCTGGAGGGACCCAGCTCCTTTTAATGATGACTCAATTCAATTCTTTCTTCAGATACTTAGATGTTGAAAGCATTTGCACAGGTTTTAATTTTACTGAGTAATGTCTTGAAAAATGTGAACATGCAAACAATATTGGTTTTGCTAATAGTATTTTTTTTTTTTAGTGTCAATATTCAAGATTGGCTGTGCTTTTTTAGGTTCTCTTCTAAGCACTAACCTTACTTTTCTCATTCTGCTAACCTATACTTACCCAGCCACATTCCCATCAGCTCTTCTAACCTGTTATGCTGTGCATTTGACTCTCTTCCCTACGACCTCACAGGACTTCTTTCCAAATGCCCGGGTTCTCTCCTCCTACGTCACTTTTAGCTCTCGAGTGCATCCACTCACACCCATCTCCTTTGTCTGTGTCTCTTCATTGCATGCTGTGATCACAGAAGACGTGGACTCCACAAGGAAGAGAAGTGCAGGTCTGTGTCCGCTCCTGGTCTCCTTTGCTCTCCTTTCATGTAATCCCACTTATCCTAGAAACAGTTTACCACTTGTTTTGCTCACTTCATAACTTTGCACTTTTCTAATATATGAAAATATGAAATTTTGCAAGGACTGTAAGTTATTATAACTTTTTACAATAGATGCTTCAATTTGATAGATATAAGTAAAATTTCACATAATTCATATATCCTGTCTTTCTATAACTAGAAAATAACCAGAGGCACTAAGAGACACATATGTATCATGTATGTGAATATTTACCAGAGGAAGTCACCTAGATTAAATTAATAAGTTAGTCATAATTTACTCCCAAAATTATTCTCTGCTTAAAACTTGATTTGTTCCATTTTTACATAACTTGAAAAACGCAATTTGGTGTATCATGACCCGCATTTTTCTAGGATATGAGGATACCAAAGACTTAATACATGCTCTGAAGAAAGTTTATTACATTTATTTACTTTTTCCTATTACACAGTAATTAATAGAGGAGGATAATATGCTGTGCTAATTTGCCAGCATTAATGATTTTCAGTCTTTTCAATAAAATTACAAATTTAAATAAAATCTGTTTTAAATAAATATACATAGAGGGATTCATGTAAGAGGTGACTTTAATATTTATTAAACTCACATTCATTAAACAAATGCCCTGTAACACTGCTCTAGGTGTTGGAAACATCAAGACAAACAAAACACCTACATATCCTTGCAGTATCTTCAGGACTTGACTTACATATAAAGGCAATAATTAATTATTGGTACTATTATTATTTTGGAATCACAAAAACTGATACCATTTTTATCAGAAGATCTATGTTAATTCAAACAATACTTCTGATATTGAGTTAAAAGTTAGGAAATGTTGGTTGTTTTTCTATAGAGAACTTTTCAAAGAGATGGAATCAAGGCAACAGTGTTCAAAGGCCTCAAGCAATGTTACAAAGAAATTATTAGAATTCACAGAGTTTCTGTAAAACTACTGAAATATGTTAAGCAACAGAAATACAATAGTGCTAGTCATTTAAAAGAAGAGATTAGCGTGGAATCAATAATAAAGCAATCCATTAGTTAATAGATAATGATTAAAATTAAGGATATCATTATAGTACATGAAAAGCTAATTTAGAGATATGACACCTTCAATTCATTGAATAAGCCTTATTGCTGCAGGAGTGGGGACATAAATACTCTCTTGTTATTTGGTTGTCAAATGCTTGTACATTTTACAGGAAAATACAGGTTGTATATCCTTCAGAAGAATTTGAGTTAATTTTCTAGATAGGCCAAGTAAATGACTTATTTGGCTTATCCAAGTATAAAGGATTAATAATAGCAACTAGATGTGTGAATCTGAAATTCAGAAAAATATCTGTACTGGGCTTTTAGAAAGTAATGCCACTGGCAGATATGAACATTTGGAGAACATTTAAGAAGCAAATGAGTGAGGACTAGAAATTTGCTAGAACAAACTTCCTATCATTAAGAGACTTCAAGAACAAAGCATTGTAAAAAGGAATCTAGGCAGCAGAGATAGACTCTGGAGAGAAAGAGACAGGCTGCATTACTCAAAGATAAAACTGTTTGGCAGTGGTCTTTGACTGGGGGCACTCTAATCAACTTCATAGGAGTGAAAGTGAAATTAAAGAGCAAGAAGGGTCATGGAAAGAAAATAATAAAGGAAGATCATGAGTAGAAGCTTTGTCTTCTTGATGCTATAGAGAAATGATAAAGAACAGCTACCTTGGGGTTTTGGAGAGGAAACTCACAAGCAGACAAAGGAATATGTAGGTTAGGTGAACAGAGATCCTAAAATCACAAAGCATTGTGTCCTTTAAGCTTGTGTGATTGGCTCACTAGTACAGTTCTGGTGTAATTATTTTGATCTGAGGTTCATTGATGAAAAGTTATAAAAGAAAATGAAAGAGAATAAAGGATTTGGGAGCTCATGACAGTTGATGTCATGTGCTAATGAATGATCAAGGTGTGGTTAGATGCAGATTTTTTTTAAATTGCTGAAAGAAAAAATGTGATGAAATCACTGTAATTTAATATGATAGTGAAAACAGACTAAAGAAAACAGGAAATTATTATTAGAGACTAATCTGGTAATGTGTTAGGCATTTGCAAACAAAGTAAAAAGAACGTTTGCCCACAGGAATGCATTCCTGAGATAGAATATATAATGGCAATTGGAGAAGCAAATATACTTTACTGCTAGAACTTTATAGGTGACTGTAGTGTGTAGCTTTGCTCGATCCACCTTTAGCTCTGTCTCTCAGCCCCCACCCAGCTTCCCTTGAATCCTCAGATAAAAGACACAGACAAACAGTAGTTCATTTAAATTTGCCTTCTTGGCACAATTGCTGGGCACTACTATCTCCCACAGTGAAAATCGTGCCCTTACCAACTTCTTATCTCCGTCTCTCCCACCTGCCTTAAACTTCAACTGCTAAGCTCCCCTGAGCACCTGCCTATAGGAGCAGCCTGAGTGGCCACTCTGTTTTGAGAGCATTTTGTTCTTCTCTCTCCAAAGCAGGGCAAACTCTGTTTTCCTTTCTTGCATCTCCCTGCCCTGCTGCCAGGGACCTGGAAGTCCCACCTATACCTTCTGCCCAGCGATTGGCCCATGGCTTTCTTTACTGCCAGATAAAGAGCCAATTGGAGCACAGGACTTTAGCATCAGACCCACCCCCTGAAGGTGATTGAAGTTACTGAGGTGCCAGGATGAGTAGAAGAGATGTATTGAAAACTGCTTTGGAATTGAATGAACATAAAAGATTGCATAAGTAGTTTCTGAGGCAACTACTATTGAAGGGCCAGCTTGTATTCTGGATAAGAGTAGAAATAGACCCTCTGTTAAGAAACTGAGGCCATGCTGCCAGTAAATGAAAAAAATAGGATGTTAAGGGAAATAGTCTACAGGGGAAAGAAAGACTTAGAGAACAAAGGTCATGATTTTTAAGACAAATAAAACAGATTGGACAATTTTCAGAAGAAAATGAATACTAGGTAAATAAAATACGCTATATTGTTTTGTAGTAGTAAAAAGAGAAGGGGAAATTAAGCTACTCTAAGGAAGAAAATTCAGAGATCGCATTTAGAGGTTATAGAAGACATTTTGTAATGTAGAAATGGGTAGAAGTAATGTGCTAGAGAGAGTTCAGAGATTCAAAGACTGATAATGAAGACATTGCTCACAGAAGAATAAATGGTTTCTAGTGTGCACATAATTTAGAAGAATTTAAGCAAAGGAGCGAGGGAGCTTAGAAATGATGTACAAGCTCGCAGATAGAATTCTCAAAATATGAATTTTAAAAATTTTTGGAGAAAATGTTTTATTGGCTTCTTATACTGATATAAACCAAATTTTGTTATTAAGAAAATGTAGTTTGAAGTATGTATATCTGGGCATATATTTTAACGCTGAGTGGCTTGGTAGGTCTAGAACGTTGAAGCCTGGGCTCCCCAGCTTTCTATTGCAGTCATAGAGCTGCAAATGAGGAGTCGGTCTTTACTAAGCAACACTGTGCTAGTTTCTACAGATGTAGATACCCGGAGCTAAGTGAAGATTAGTTCATTTTGCCCAAAGCCGTGAAAGAAAGATGGATCAGTAGAGGAGCTAAGCAGAGGCCCTGATAGAGGAACTACTGTTAGTAGATCTGTGACTGCAGTTTAAGGTGAATGTCAGCTGTAGAAAAGTGAGAGCTGGCTAATTCTTTTCTACAGCTGCCTGAAGTGTTAATCAGTAAAAGTTTAGTAAGTTTATTAGCCTAGACACACTTCTCCAATGATGCTGAAGTTTAATTTTCTTTATCACTATAAACTACTAATAGTTCAACCCAAAATATGTCAGAGCAGTCTTTCTGTTTTATAGAATTATTATATATACTAGTGTATCATTACTTACTAATTATTTATATTTGAAATGAATTGTTTTAGTATATATTTATTTTATATATATGCATATATATGTATATGTATATACATACATATACATATAGTGTGTGTGTGTGTGTGTGTGTGAAGCAAGTATATTAGTTTGTGGCTACTAGCATAGGATTAACTGTCACATAAGCCTCTGCATCCCAACTTTAGAACCTACACCCCCGAGCTTGTCATTTCTGAAACACTGCATTTGAGTGAGAGCAGACAGCAGCACTGAAGTCTGTAGATGCAGCTAGAGTGCACTTCTCAGGAAGGTGAGCTTGGGCTGGCTTCCATCTTAGTTTTGATAATGAACTCTAGCTAGTTTTAAGAACTGGTTATATTTGGAGAATAGGGTTCTCGGGATTGAATTTATGACATCACACTTCCTGAGCACATGTTATACCACTGTTCTACAACCTCAGGCCCAAATTGTTATGTTTTCATGAAGAATAAAAGTTTATCTCTGAAAAAAAGAACTCCCTCTTAAAAAGAAAAATCAAAGAAATGAGAGAGAGAACTGACTCCAGGGTGGCTTCTATAAACATGTTGTCAAATCATAAATAAAAGACACACAGCATATTGGGATAACACATTTGCTATAGCTTAGAAAATAAATTGAGAACTTTGAGACCTAGCTTACTTGTGAAACTGTAATTGAAAAATGAGTGAAAGTTATATATAGATATTTCTTTAAGAAATTCAGGATTAAGTAAATATATGGAAAACATTTAAATCATAACAAAGTGACTATTAATTGAAGCACGATACTTATTTGAAATATCAAAGTAAAGTTATGATGAGAGTAATAGTAAAGTTAGTATGACTGGTATAAATCCAGAACCTTAAAAATAACTGTGGACTTTTTGGAGGGGGTGGGTCCTGTGAGATGGTTCAGTAGAGAAAGGCATTACCACCAAGCCGGGTGACGGGAGGTCATTGCACAGGACCCACACGATGAAGGAGAGAACCAACTCCCATAGTTTATGTCTGATCTTCACAAACATACAGTAACTTTTACATGCTCTCCCTGTCCTCTGCCAACAAAATCTAATAAAATTTTAAGGGAAAAATACTCATTGTTTTTACCTAATTAAAATTAAATACACATATAATTGATTCACTAACATTTACTTATTGCATGAAAATTATATCACTGTAATAAGGCATTGGTAAAATAAATCATATATGTACAACCTTAAATTTGTTATTTAAATATTAAGAATTGGTTTATAAGCCCTATCACTTTTTGCAATTTGAAAGTATTTTTCATAAAGGACTTGTTAAATTTTTCTATAATGTTCCATTAAAAGTCATTTTTCTTATTAATTACAATTTAGCTCAAACTATGCAAAAAGCTTGCATTTCAGAAAAATATATCCAATGTTTACATTTTTGTGTGTATTATTTATAAAACTCATAGGTTTTGCATTGCAATTTTAACACAATTTAATACATCAATAATCTCTAACCAACAAACAAGTAAGGTGTTTGAATAATGGACATTCCCAGGATTGTTTAAAATAAAGAAAAAATTGAATAATTGGCAACTTTAAAAGAATCATTTTAATTATTTTGTCTGTAACAATGGAAGAAAAATAATTAATTACATTAGAAAAACAAACAATCATTGCTTACTTAGCAGTGTGTGAGTCCTGGGTTTTTATTTCTAACCACTGGACAGTAATCACAAGGTAGAGGTTGGCTGGTGCTCATTGACTTCCACAACATGACTAACAGGAAGACTGGCACAATAAGCATAGACTCACAGATGCTTCCTTATATGTAAACCTCACTTCCTTCAGCTGAGTACCTACCAGTCCCATAGTTGAACCATGTCCTAGTTCTCAGGAGGTTGTTTTGTGTTTGTATTTGTTTTAAAGAAGCTTCCATACTGTTTTCCATAGTGTCAGTGTTAACTTTCCTACCAGTTGTGCATCTGGACCCCTTTCTCCCTGTATCTTCATTCTATGCTTGCTGTCATGAAATAGAATTCCAGTGTAGGTATGATTTGCTTCTCTCTGGTGGCTAAACTGTTCTCCCTTTTTCACTTGTCCTTCTTTTGAGAAGTGTCTGTTCAGATCATTTTCCCATATTTGATTGGATTTCTTTCTTTGATGTTAAGAATATATTAAAGGTGTTTAAAAGATTGAAGATAGCTCATTGGCTAACCAGAGTCCAGTCTCTAGAACCCACCACCGGTTGTAACTTCAGCTCAGGGATCTGCTGCTCACCTCCGGCTCCCCTGGGCACCTGTACAGACATACACATAGACATGCACATGACTGGAAATAAATCTTTAAAGACGTCTATTGGTTTCTTTATGTATTCTGTATATTAATCCCCTGTTAGATAAATATCTGGAAAAGACTGTCCTCCCGTTCTTTAAGTTTTCTGTTCATTCTGTTGACTGTTTCCTATGCTGTGAAGAAACTTTCAAAGTTTACATAATCCAGTATTTAAATTCTTGCTTTTTCCCCTAGGATATTGGAGTCCTATTCAGGAAATCCTTGCTATAATCTTGATGAGTTCTCTTGTTTTTTTTTCCAAGTAATAGTTTCAAGTCTTTCATAAAGGTCCATGATGCATTTTCACCTGGTCTTTATAAAGTTTGAGAGGTATGGGTTAGTTTCAATCTCCATGTGAATGTTCAGCTTGCTCAGCACTGTTTGTCTGATGTGTATTTTGGAGAGCTTGTCTAGAATCAGCTGCTACTGCATTGATTTAGTTCTGAGTCTTCTATTCCATGGGTTTACATATCTGTCTTTATCAGTTACCTCTGATACCTCTTACCCATTTTTCAATCAGATATTGGCATGCATCTACCATTGATTGTCTTGCACGTGATCACTTTGAAAATTTTTAGATTTACTTTGCTTCTACTTAAATTTGACTTTTTGTTTGTCAGCTTGTTTGTTTTCTAGTTTTGTGAGGGTTCCAATGGTATTTTCTTGGGATTACATTGAGTTTTCAGATTGGGGGGGGGGGTCACAGCTATTTTAATAGTACTAATTCTTCAACATATATGCATGGAAGGTTTTCCATATACTAGATTGTCTTCAGTTTTTCTTTTGTTCAGTGTTTTGCAGTTTTCACTGTAGGAACCTTTTCCTCCATGATATTTTTAGTCCTAGGTATTTTATTTTAATCTGTTGATGCTACTACAAATGGTATTCTTTTATGGTTTTTGTCTCAGTGAGTTTGTAATTGTTATATGTAGAAAATCTGTTAATTTTTATGTTGATTTTGGTTCCTGTAACTTTGCTGGATTTCTCTGTTCTAGAGTCCTGATGGAGTCTTGAGAGTTTTTCACATTCAGTATCAGATCATCTTCAAATAGGTGTGACACAGCTTCCCCTTTTTGCTGTGTTCTTCTGTTTTGTTCTCTTGCCTAATTGCTCTGGCTAAAATTTCTTTGATGTTTACTTGATGTGTTGAACAGGAATGATGAGATGGACACTCCTTTCTTCTTTCTGGATTTTAGAAGAAATACATTCATATGTTGCTTGCAGTAGTTTGTTACTAGAACATAACCAGTCATTATGTAAATATTGCCTTTGGCTGCTTTCATATCAACATTGCAGACAAATTAGAGTTTGCACACAGAGAATCTGCAGTCTAAGACTGAAAAAGATAGCTCATTCAGTAAACTGCTTGTCCTGAAGCCATGAGGCTCTTAGTTCTATCCCTGTCATCCAAGTTCAACAGGAAAATGAAAGTCATAAATGGTGCCCTGTGCTTATATTCCTATTACTGGAGAGTCAGAGACAAGCAGCTAAATCTGAGTCTCATTGGCCTAGCAGCCTCCCCCAACAGCAGTTCAGGCCAATGAGAAACCCTGTCTCATAAATGCAAGGTGTCTGCAGAAAGACTCCAGAGGTTACCCTGTGATTAGGACATACACATGTCCAGGCACTCATGCAAATGAGCATTCTACTACAAGACCAAGTGTACAAATACATGTTCAGGCACACACGCACACGCATGCACACATGCACACACACAATGTATATTATATTATGCCCTTTATAATAAAAGTTGGTTCTTCCTCCCCATGTGTCACATGTGTCCTAATCAGAAGGAACTTAATGCAGCTGCCATAGAAGTTTGATATACAAAAGGATCTAAATACTAGAAAATGTTTATGTTTACATGTATATACTTTGTATCTATGTCTATGTGTTCTTAAATTTCTTTGTCAATTGGTAACATTTCTATGTAACATTCTGTTTTCTATTCTGATGGCAAGATGCAACATTTTAAATGAATTTTCCCAGACAATATTTACTAATATCATCTTTTCACTACATATAATTTTTTTCATCCAGGGCTAATTTCTTTCTTTTGCTGTTGAGAAATAAATATGTTTTATGTCAGAGGTTTTCCTGAGGTATAAACAATTTCATGGGTGTACTTAATGAACAAACAGGTATTATACTTGTTATATTTCATATCACAGGTATTCATATGACTTAATATATCATTCAGTTTTTTCTGCAATTTTAAATTTAACATAGACTCAGTTATACTTTTATTAAAATGACTATCTTAATAGATAACTTATTTGACTTTGATGACATAACTATAGAAGTAATACCATCACTTGAGAGTCTGAGACAGAAGGTTAAGATCAGCCTAAACCTGTCTCATAACACAACATCAATTTGATAACATATTTAGAGGTCGTATCATTTAACCTTTATAGATACTATTAGCCAAGACTTTGTTAATTTTTCTGGGAAATTGTGTTCCCTTCTATCTTTTATTAGTCTTCGCTTATTACTAACAAGACTTATCCGATATATAATGAAATTTTTGCGGAGCATAGGTAATATTTTTTTAAATGAGTTTTAAAAACTGACTTACGAAAGAATTCTGTAACTGCCAAATGTTTTGTATATTTTCAATCCCATTATTATTATTATCAGGTAAGTATTGTATGTTTATTTTGATAGGTACTTTTCTGTCTAAATATATTTACTCTGGCTTTAAAGTTATGATCTTGAGCAAAGGGTATGTATCTATGTGTTTACATCCCTGTCTACGTGCATAGTACTTATAAATTTCCACAACAGTGTGCTTCTATACCCACCGATGGAGTCCATCAAGTCCATTGTCTTTCTTTGTGTTTTCCATTGTATATATTTATGAAAATTTGTTTTTTCAGCATGTATATTTATGAAAAGTGTGATCTCCCTATAAATTCATCTTATGAAAATCAATTTTATATTTATTAGGGTTGATTAACTGAATTTAGCTTTTAATTTCAATCAAAAGGATTTTGAAGACCTTTTTGATATCTAAAATTGACTTATTTTGAAATGGTAACAGGTACTGAGGACACTAATCTTTTTTGATAGGCTTACCATTCATTTTTCTCATTTTTTATAATCTATTTTTCATTTATTTCAGTATGGTGTCATCAAAAGTATATTCCATAAACTTATTTTTTAAGTTTAGTTATAGAAATTTCAAATTCAAAATTTTCTGATAACTAGACCTATAATATATTCTAGGACAACTTGCTTTAAAACAGTCTAATTTTATGACAGTAGTTTAAAAATTCAGTTTTAAATTACATTGAAACAGAAACAAGTTTCAAACCAATTACATTTACATGATGAGTGAAGCCAAAGTTCTTGTGCCAAATTTGTGTACTATCAAATGTATTCTTCTTGACACAGATGGGCCAATGTTTTCTTCTAGTTATCTTCTCTCTTAATGCAAGTATATAAACATACATATATATATATATATATATATATATATATATATATATAATAGTTATGCTTTTATTTACCAACATACATAGTTTAACTTAAAGCAAAGACAATATAACGCTAATTTATTCAAATACTTTAAGTAAAAGTAGCTTATCAGCTTTATATTTCTTCTTTTATACATCCTAATTAGGATTCACAAGTAAGAACTAAACATTAATTTTATGGGTTTTTTTCTACTTGATAGGTGCTATGGATATAGAGGAGAGAAATCGCCAAATGAAACTTAACAAATACAAACAGGTAGCCGGATCAGATCCCAGACTGGAACAAGATTACCATTTGAAGGCAAGACAATTTTCTTTTTAAAAGTTGTAAAATAGTCGATCATATGAAGCTACTAGATTTCTTTAAATGACTGAATATAGATGAGTCAGACACAAACATGTAATGTAATGGCCCAGTGATAATAAATTCTACAATGTATGATGTGTTTGTGTTCCAGCTCTTAGGGACATACTTCTTATTAGAAACACCTTATTATATAACATATGAAGTTAAAAGTCTAAAGACCAAAGATTTTAGATTTGTTTCATTTTATAAAATTTGTATCTCTTCAAAAATGTTTAGGGAATTCTCCCATCATCATCCTGTGTGTTTTTCTAATACATCTTTTTCTATTTTATGTTTCATATTTTGGTATTTTAATTAAATCTGCTTTATTACTGAGTTATTGGAGCAAACATATACTTCCGAGGTTTCATTAGTTCAAAAGGTATCTTACCAGGCATGTTTTCAAAGTATTTTCTGGGTGTAAGTTGAGATAAGTGGTGTAGGCAGGTAGAAAATTAAGAGTATTTTGTTTATCTTACTCTTCAAGAGCTTTATTTTTCTAAAGCCATTTTAGGATCATATTATTGTATAACATGGGTACTCTGTATGATATGATTACTACATATGATATATATATTCTCAATAATATCACCACTTTAGAAAAGAGTGTCAAGATAAAGTAAGGGAAAGAAAGGTAGCTCCCAAGGCAAAGACAGTGAGCCAGATGAGTAGCGCTGTCAGCAGGACACTAAGAAGCATCGCAGGGTGGGGGGAAGGAGGGCTTACCTGACTAGAGTGTGGGAAGCCTGAGAAACAAGAGTTAGCACCATTTATAAACAGACAGATAAGTAAAATAATCAAGGAAGCAAGTAAAAACAGATAAGTAAGAATCATGGTCGGTCAAATGAGTTACATCACTCATATTATGAAAAATATGCCACAATCCCAGCACTCAGGAGGCAGAGGCAGGCCAGTCTATGTAAATTCCTGGCCAGCCTGGTCTACAAAGTGAGTTCCAGGATGCTCAGGGCTACACAGAGAGACCTTGTTTCAAAAACTGTAAATAATTAATTAACTAGTAGTCCTTAAGAAGCAGTAAAAATGGTTCTTATTTAAAATACCTGACAAGTTTGTTTTAGGGTCTTGGAGCAAAAAGATGCTATAGCTAAGAATTTTGTTTCCCAAAACACAAGTTTGAAGTCCATACTAATCTTCAGTAAATGAATGTTTAAAGCCCCCAAATTTTTATAACCTTTGACACTTTTAGGTTTGGAGACAGCTGAAGTACTGATAAAGAACTAATTATTCTGAGCAAGATAACTTGATAATTTTCTAAGTACAGTCCCCAAGTGCAGACATTCATAGCATGTAGGCGTGTTTTACAAATACAGTTCTCTGCGTTCCTCATGCCCAGGAAGTCCCCATCAGTGATTCTGATGTAGACTAAAGTTTTAAAACCCTTGCTCTAAAGTGAAGTGATTCTGAAATTTAGTTTTTTAGTGGAAAGCATTGACTAGAAGCCAGATATGAATAATATTAAAAATTGGATTCTTTATTTTAGGAGTGAATTGTTTTATCCTTTGGAGTTTGGATAGTTTAATTTGTCATAAGAACAATCATAACATTTCTCTTTCTGCTGCTAGGATTTTATACTCAGCTCACTCCAAAATATAATCCAGTCACTAAGGAGCAACTGCACTTACTTCCTAACATGGAACCGACTTGCTTAGTGGTCTATCTCCCAGTCATTCCCAGGTTAACCTTTCTCTCTTAAAGGTCAAAGAAAAATTAGTGTTTTTTTTTAATGGAGGTTATTATATTTTTAGCTTCCATGTTAATAGCTTTTTAAGTTGAAAGAAATTTTAAGGATCATGTCTGTTTTTTAACAAGAGGCATTATGCCACTGGTCTTTATTTATCCATTTTGGTTTTCTTTAAGTGCCTCTTAACAAAAACTACTATTGAGTTATATGTTTTATATATTATATTCAATTCACCCCAGAATTATAAAGGAACTGCTATAAAGTATTGAATGTTAGGCAATCAATTGTTATAAAATATAGAAAGTTAGATTTTTGACTGTTATTTTGGCAGCCTGTGGCAAAATATAGAAAGTAGAATTATCTACTGTTAGAAATAAAGATTGAATAATTTCCTCTTCTAAACTATAAAAATTAAGTTACCTACTATTATAAAAAATATAGAAAGATTAGGAAATAGCATATAAAATAGAAAGTAGCTTCTGTACAGGTCCAGTATAGAGAAGCTCGGTGAGCACCGATACAAAGCATGGGAACATTCAGAAGATAAGTGTGTGTCACCGTCCAGTAAGTCATGGAAAATGTCACAGCTAATCCAGTTTTCCAGGTTTGAGATAACTGATATGAGACTCAAAATGTCAGCTATATAAGGCACATGCTACCCTTTGACCTATAATCCTGTTGGTGGTGGTATCACAAAGATCTGTGTTGAGTCATATTAAATATTAGACTAGTATTCTCAGAAATTGGAAGAAGAAAGTATTTGTAATAAGAATATAAAAGAATATGTACATGTGATTTCTAGTTAATCAAAGATTTTCTCAGGGTTTTCCCTCAGAGAAGAACTCTCTCAGAGAGAATCCACATTTCTTGCTCTGGGATTCTCTCATCAGTGTGATTCATCCTTCCATTCTGGGCAGTGATTTATTGATTCACCCATTTTTCTTCTCCAAAATCAATGTTCTGCTCATTGACTCAGAAACATTTAATTTGTCTATGAAACTTAGCAGTACACATTATAGTTGACCTGTGATTTATATAATGATAAAGTAGCATAATCATTCATAATTAAATATCAAATAGCATGAAGCATTATATATTTAAACCTAAAACTTTTAGTTTTGAATTAGCTCTATTTTTCATTGTGTATCATTTTTAAAACAAGATTTTTTTGATTATCTAAACATAATATTAGCACAGAATTTGTAATGGACCTCAGAGATTATTTCTCTGCAATAGTGTTCTTTTTAAGGAAAATATGTCCAAAATCATCACTGTGCTACCTCCTACTATAGTGCCTCTGCTACAATTCTCTGAATTGTCTACACACAAATAATTAAAAGGCTCATAACTCATAAATTGTTGAGATATCTACAATTCTTTTAAGCTACAATACAATAGGCTATTCTATTAGTTTAATTCAATGCATTCAGATAGATGCAGAAATAATGGTGTAAAAGACAGAAAAGGGTTTTTTTTTTCTCTATTCATTGCATGAGCCAACTCTCAGATACTGCTAACATACAGCTGTTGCTTTTTTTTTCTTATTTCTAGTTTGATAAACACCCATTCACACATCTCACAAACTAAGAGCAACATACTCTAATTAAATCAACTTAAATAAAATATGGACACCAATAATAGATAAATCCTCAGTTTTAAGTACAAATAAAACTAAAGTTAATAGAATCATAGACTATTTAAGTCTTCGAGACAGTTCCAGACAAATCACCCTTGCATGTAGATTACCACAATCAAGTATTATCTTTCATCACAGTTAATTGTCTTCTCAACAGAGAAAGTGCATTCAGTGCTCGCCTTTCTACTGACTTTTCAGAACATGGGCAGTGGGGACATCCGCCTGAAAAGCTGTCAGAGCTGGTTAGGGGTGAGCACGTGTGGGTGTTTACCCATCACCCCACTGTAGCAGGATCATCAGTGCAGTCTGGCGCAGTGCAGGCCGCCCTTGCGTGGTTTGGAAGTGCCTTCAGCTTAGCCCTTTGTCCTCAGGTTCCTCATCTGTTACTTGAGTGGTGGTAGAAGCTTCTTAGGTAGTGTGATGACAGCTACATGAAAAGACGCATGTCTTTGTACGCAGTAAGTACTCAGTACATGACACAGACAGTGCAGTTTTCATTAACAGTATCATACATAATCAAACGTGATCGTAGGCAATGCAGGGGATGTGACTGAGGTACGAAAGGACCGAGTGTACAGATACCTTTAAGTGCTTCCTTCATTCTCTAATAAAGAGATTGAAGCAACCAAAATCTAAAATAAAACTGTATAAAAGGTGAGAACTTATCAGCCTTGAAAATGGCAAGCAAATTATAAAAATAAAACAACTTTAAAACGACCGTTTATAAGCAAAATTACTAAAATAAGAACCTATATTGTCAATATTGACATTACATATATGTAATGTCCCTATAATTACAGTATACACTTGTTAATAGTTGTTAATCGTGAGGACCATAAGAAATCTGAAAATTGACAGAGTAGATTTATATATAAGGCAAGATTTAAACTGTAGATTAAATAGTCTTATATAAATTATTACAAGATATAAAATGCATGAATTTCAAATATGATTTAGAAATGAGACAATACATTTATGTATGTATTTTAGAACAGTGACTGCAATCAAATGCTGGGAACAATTTGTTTTTTTTTATTGAATATTTATTTACATTTCAAATGTTATCCTCCTTCCCAGTTTCCCCTCCACAAATCCCCTATCCCATTTCTCTCCCCCCTGCTTCTATAAGGGAGCTCTTCCACCCACCCACCCACCCACTCGCACCTCACTGCCGTAACATTCCCCTACACTGGGGCATTGAGCCTTCACAGGACCAAGGGCCTCCTCCCATTGATGCCAGATAATTTGTTTCTTAAGCAGAATTTTTGAGTGGCTGGCATTACACAGCCAGCAGTCCAGCGACTGAGCCAGGCTTTATTTCTGCTGAAGAGAGAGCTTTAAAACATCAGTTCTCAAGATTCCAAGACAGTTTGTTCTTTTTGGAAACAGGCATTATAGCACCTCAGGAATGCCTCTGCCTTTCAAGTGCTCAGGATCCCACTGTGATACCCCATAGGAAGCAATGAATTTCTTTCCCTTTCAATAAACAGTCTAAAGTTTCACAGCAGAAGTAGGATTTACGTTTTTACAGCTCATGTTGGACTGAAACCTAGTAGAAAGCCACACCTCTGTTTCTTCATTGTAACACACCTTTTCTCAAAACTTATATTTGCCTTT